CAGAAGACCTATACAATTTTTTTTCTTTTTGATTTTTTTTTACCTGGATTACTGAGATGCATCAGGACGTAGCTGAGAGTTATTAACACTATGAGCACTTTATTTTTTTAAGGTTTGATCAGAAGAGCTCTGTCGTTTTTCCTAATACGATCATTAAAAACTCAGGTGATGTGTTTTCCTTCCAGCAATGTCTTTAATTGTTTTTGGTTTTTTAAAAGAAAACAATCATTCTGAGTCTTTTTTTTTTCATGAATCTAATTAAGGTTGTTAACAGATAAGGACACATTTTAACCCTTTTTAATGAAGCTCTAAGTCTCTGTTGATTACAAGGAGAAAATGAAGATAGGTGCTTAATGACAGAATAAAAATCTGTTTAAGCTCATTTATTTTMTACAAACTCTGGAACCAAACTGAAACATTTCTGCCTCGGTTCAATAAAAACAGGAAAGATTATTTTCTCCCATGGTTCTCTCCCTTTATTKTGCTCTAAATCTCACTGGTTTCTGCTATTTTGGTTTTTTTAAACAGGAAAAATATGTTAGTGGATTTTTTATTTTGTTTTTTTACGTGGCGCCCCATGGAATTAAACAAAATAAAACATTTTGGAGCTGATTGTCTAAATAAAACAGCTGGAATCTAATGAAGAAAACCTGCTTTGTTTGCAAATTTGAGTTTAAAAGAAGCTCTCCCTTGTCATCATTATAACTCTTCACTTTACACGAATCATGACTGAGTTGTTTAAAATAAATAAATTGGTTAATAAAGAAAAAAAATCCCCCAATCGCGCGCCTCAGACGCACTGAAGGCGTGTCTCTGGTTGCGCTTAAATCCAACTCGGTGCGGTTTGGAGCAGCAGAGCTGGCTTTGAGCTCCCAGCTGGACCCGCAGAACCAAATCCAGGTGTTCGTTAGAACCATTTGATGTTAGTGCTGCCACGTTCTTCTGATTGGGACCTTCTTGTTTTGCACCTGGACCGGAGGACGGGACGGTGCCACACTGGAGCTCTCCGGCGCGCGCCAGAGGACAAAAAACTGCAGCAAAGGGAGGTTCTTGTCCTCAGCGTGGCTCGAATAGATCATATCTGAGCATCTTTAGGAGTTGATCAAATATTTATTTTAATCTAATTGACGTGTGGAGATAAACACAACAGCAGAGCGCGCGGACTCCTCATCTCCTGCTGCGCGTTTTTTATGACGGAAGCCGGAGATTTCCTCCTGTTGGATCCAGTTTCATGACATAAAAGTTTTTTTTCCCATTTTATTTGCTGTTTTATGTTTTCCTCTCTGTCCAACACGGTAACAATGATGACAGAGAACACTGAGATGGAGAGCGAGTCYCAGCTGCAGCGCTCCCCAAGCAACATCCCCATCCAGCCCATCACATCCAAGGTAAGACTCTCAGTTTGGACTTTTCTCTCCATCACCTGTAAAAAAATAGTTAATTAGTGAAGTACTAGCAGTTCAACTGCAAACCGGAAGTGGAAATGACTAAATGGTGTTTATTTCTTTAAGTAGTTTTCATGCTTTTGCAGAGAATTGTTCGTATTTCAG